ACAAATTCTTCCTCAGCTTATATATCTATTTTCTCAAATGAAATATAGATTGAACATTTTTAAGTTAATAATCATAATTATATTGATCAAGAATTTTGGATTAAATATTATGAAGTTTAAATATAAGCAGATTTTAATTAAAATGAAATTTCTTATATAATCTCTAACTTATACAAATTTGAAAATGTAGGAGGTATTTTATCTATATAAGCTAACAAATTTACTTTTTTTGATGGGCTTTTTAACTACATATAAGCAAAAGCTATTCAAATCTTTAACATCAACCTTTAAAGAAATGGAATAGTGATTATTTAAAATTGCAGAATTGCTCATGCATATAATTCATTTATTTCGAAAACCTAAAATGATGGTGCAATTAAAATTAATGCTTAAAAAAGCTTATTTTCACTTTATCTAGAAAATATTACTTTAATTGATGTTATAAATAAACTATCATCTTCAATATTATCAATATATCCTTCGCCTTCTTAAAATAATGTTCAAATAAATAATATAATTGTTAAAGACTGTTTTTCGCTTGTGAATTAGATTCTCAATTTTGAATTCGATTTTTAGAATGCCTAATAAAATATTGTAAAATTATAAAATTTTAGAATTTTTTCAACTGAAAATGCCTTTTATACTTTTCTTGAATCTATAGGGAAACTTAGTCTAATAGATATGTAAAAAATAATTAGCAATAATGCAATTATGAATTTTTTAGGATGTTCATTGACTTTAAATGATATTCAAATTGAAGGAATTATATTATCATCTGTTCTGAAAATAACAGATTCAAAACAGATAATTGTTATGAATATGCTATTTATTAATATATTAACTTTTTATCCCTTATATTTAGTAGAAGTATAATAAAGTGATATTTTATAATCGAAGATATATTTTAATAATATTAAAATATAGAATTTTAATGATCTCAAATTCACTAATTAAAATTACAATTATTTTAATTATAATCATATTGGCTTAAATTTAAATCAATGCAGTTCAATAATTAATTATGTACATTAACAAATTATATAAGTGGAATTTATTTAAACTTTTTTTGAAAATGTTCTTGCAAATTCAAAAAAGAATGGGTCATTAATTAAAATCACTAGTTTGACAAATTAAACAAATGTTATTTTTATAAAGATATTTTTATTGAATAACAATTGTTAATATTGTTATGATGGTTTATTATATTTTGACATAATTGATTTTAAATAAATACAAATTTCAGAATTATTTTGTATAAAGAACAATATCATAAATTATGGTTGTATATAGGCAAAATCAGTTAGAAAAGTTGATAGTAAATTATAAATAGAAGATTCAACCTTCATTTCTAATAATGGTAGATAAGGATCTGGCATTTTAGTTTAAAATTTAAAATTTAAATTATCAAATTCCAAAATTATTAATAATAATGCTACTTATAAAGGAGGTGGTTTTTATTTTGAAGAAGGTTCTGATAGATTTATTATTTAATCTACTATAATTTGTAATAATAAAGCAGAACAAGCTGGAGGTATATATTTAGATGGAAATAGTAGTTTAAATAACAATAATTTTATTAAGTCAATTCTCTTATTTAATTAAGCTTAATTATCTTCAAATAATATTAATGAATTACCATTAAGATTAACATTATCAATTAATTTAAATGAAATGTTTTCATCAGAACATATAATTGAAAATCATTCCTATTAGGTCTTAACATTAAAACCATTCTAAATACTATCCTAAGAAAGTGTTATATAATCAAATTATTTATTAATACCTAGTGGTTAATAGATATAGAATTATCAGATTTATAATTCTTAATTTTAGAAATATTAATCTTATATTAATGAATTGACTATAATATTAAAAAATAGTAGAAATGAAAAATTAATAAACTTTGATAATTCTACTTGTAAAATATATTAATAGATTTTTGATATTTAATTATCAAAAATAATTGAATTGACATAAATATCGATAATTAGTTTTAATTAAGATACAAAAAGTTTTAATTTAAATTCATTAGAATTTAATTTGGATCCATATAATTAGGATAATAAAATATAAGAAATATTAATTTATTGTAATACACAATATTCATAAGAGAGTTTAGCATATAGAATGAGAGTTAATAGTTTTTTATGTTAATTAGGAGAATTTTATATAATCTCTGGTTGTCAAAGATGTAAATCTGAATAAGGGTTTTATTCTGTGACATATAATACAACAAAATGTTCAATTTTTGATAAAAATAAATTTGAAGCTATTACATCTAATAGAATTTAATTAAAACTTGGATTTTGGAGGCCAAATCAAATTTCAGATTTTGTTGAATATTGTTATAAAATTCAAATCATTGTATAGGAGGATGGAATGTAGGTAATGATATATGTTCAATTGGACATATAGGTGGATATTGTGAAGAATGTGATAGATTTGATATTAGAGGAGATGGAAAATTCTTCAAAAATTAACAATAACTTGATTGTTAAAAGTGTTAAGAGCAGTCTAAAAGATTTTTAGCTTTTTTTCTTATTTCAATTTGGTAAATTTATATATTTAATTTATGATAGGGCTATTCTTTCAACTCTTTTAACAATCAAAAGTATTGAAAAATCAAATTAATTGTTTGTTTAACTTAAAATTAGATAAAATTTTACTGAAATCTTATTTAAACTCAATTAAGGTAAATATATATATATTTTTTAGATCATGAAAGTATTTTACTGAAATTATTTTTGAATTATATATGGGTATTTTCTCTAATATTTACATTTAACATTAGCTTTTCATTTTCATTAAACTTTGTTAAATAATCTAATGATACTTCCTATTTTATGGCAAATTATTTTGAATGTTTTTTGGCTGAGATTTCAGGAATTGAATTAATGTACAGTAGAATTTTAGTAATGCTTGGACTTATGGCTAGCTAGATATTAATTATATTTTTAGGATTTTAAATATTGTCAAAATATTAAAAAACTAAATTTCATAGCAGAATTATCTCAATTACATGTTTATATTTATATATCTAAAATTATGCTTCATTGATCAATCAGTAAAATTATATTTATAGTTTAGATTTTTTTAAATTCTAGCAATTAGGAAAATATCAAATTTAAGTTATATATCTGGAGATGTATCCTTAATTTATGGTTCATAGAATCACATTACATGGATTTATGCATTTGCAATACCTGGATCTACAATAATAGGATTAATATTACCATTAACATTATTTTTAATTTTGTACATCAAATAAGAATAACATAATAAAATAAAATTTAGAAGACATATTGGTTATTTATTTAATGAATATAATAAAAAGAATTATTTTTGGGAAATGATTAAATTATGGAAGAAAACAATTATCATCATTATTTTAATCTATTTTGAAACTGATATCTTTTTAAAAGCATCTCTATTAGGACTTTCTTTATTAATTTATTAATTAATAGCTCTTCACCATAAACCATATATACTTAATAAATTTAATGTTTCTGACATCAAAAGTGGTCAGTTATGTTAAATTGCAATATTTTTAGCACTTATAAAATATATTTGTGAATAATAAGAGCAATAAAATATTTAAACTATAATTCAAATAGTTATCATCTTCGATAGCATAATATTGAGTTACCCATTTATTATGGATATTTTAAACATATATTATTCAAAATACAAGTTGCAAATTTTAAAAGTTCTTTTGTCAGCATTTCAAGCTTTTAGACCTAATTTTGTATTCACAAAGTTTTTGAGAAAAAAGTTATATCTCATAAGTTAAAAAGAAAAGAGGTTTTAAAATAATATTTTTAAAATGAAAAAATTGATATTTTAAAGACATTTTGGAAACACTTAGTAATTATATATTTTAAATATAAGTGTGAAAAATAGTTATTTATAGAGTGCCACATCATAGACTAGACCAATCTAAATAGCTGTAACTTCCAATTTATTAAAATAAAAGTGATTATTTAGCTTTTATTTAATAATCCATAAAAAAATTTAAACATTTTTACAATTATTTGAATATAAAATAATATTTCCAACTACTTGATTAAATATATTTCTTCATTTCTAAAACTCTTAATCATTTAATCTAAATAACATCTTTATATGAAAATATATCTATGGCAAGAATTTAAAATACGAAGATGTTTTTTCAAACTATAGCTGTTTGTTCTAAACCTAAAATAAAGATAATATTGTTTTTAGGAATTAGCCAGAGATAATTAGAAAAATAAGGATTTGTGATTCTGAAAAAAGAAAACTATGTATTTCATAAATAAAACAAAAGTGAAAGCTCGAAAAATATACATAAAACTATTTGAAATTGATAAGTATTTTTCCTAAAAATTATAGTTCATTAGGTCATTTAAAAATAATGAATAGCAATCAACATTTTTAAATAAGCATTTCCAAAAGTTCAACTCTTTAAAATTGTTATTTTAAAGATGATTGAAGAACATAAATAATAGATTTTGGTGATTTGAGAGGATTAATTTTTGAAGAATTTTTTTAAAAGAAAACTTATTTGCACCTATAATAAGTTAAATAAGGTTTTGATATGATTATAATATCATTCCTATAAATTTGCTCTTTATTTTAAATATGACATTCTGTACACAATGAATAGGGTTCAATGTTTTATCAAAATATTTTAATATACTATAATTAATAACCATTATAATGCAAAAAATTTACGATTTTGTTTTAAATTGTAATTAGTGTCTTGAATGAGTATTATAGGATAGATTGTAAATTATTTATAGTTTAATTCATTGTTGATTGTTGAGGATGAACTTTGAGGAGAAAATAAAAAATGAATTCGTTTATCAGATTTATTATTAAAAAATTCTAGAATCTAGATCTATTATTTTAATTTTAGGCACCGACTTGATTTAAATGTAAAATAAATAATTTTGTTAGTTAAAAAGTATTAATCAAAATTTAAATCGAAAATATATTTTTCAATTTAATATATATAAATAAAAATGTTTCAACCAAAAATGATAGAAAATGAGAAATCATTTTAATGTATTCATGGTCATAATCTTCCTATTGTTAAAGTAGCTACTAATGCTAATTTATCAAAAGATAGAAGGCTGCTTTGTGATTAGTGTTTTAAAAATAATATCATCGATTCGAATTTTGTCGAATATGAAGAAATTGCAAAAATAATTAAGAATGAATAAAATTTCAAAATGAATTTGATAGAAAATATAATAACTACAAACATTCAGTGGATTGAATCTCTCATTAGTAATGTAAATACTTTAAAATAAAATTTAATTTCTTAATTAGATTCTTTGACTTCAATTCTTAATGATTGGATTTCAAATCTTGAATATAAAGGACTTTAGTATTCCAAATATAGCTTTATTGATTAATTGGATTTAATGATAAAGAATTAGAATATGAAATTCGATTCAAAAAATTTAATAAATGATATTTTTTCAGATTACACTAAATGGAAACCAAAAGTGATCTCTGTACTAGAGTAATTCAAAAAGTTTGAAAAAGTTAATGAATGCAAAAAAATTTTATCCAAGATGAACTTCGAAATATAAAAACAGATGACAAATAATTCAAATGAAAAACCGCAGGATATAATCGAAGGTTTAATTGATCTTCGATAATTTTGTAATATTAATACTTGGGTGTCTAATTTAATTTTATCTCCAAATGAATAATATCTAGCTGTTATTATAGAACAATAAGCTCATGATGATTATGGTTATATTTAGCATTATTTAGTTATAATTTTTAATCTTACAAATAATGAGAGAATATATCAAGGATAATGGATTATATTTGATTAAAATGAAGATAATTTCATTGAATTTTAATTTGATCAAAACTCAAAATATTTCATCGATAAAAGAGCTTTTAACATAAGAATAGTCAAAATTGAATCAATTAACAATGAAGAAATTTTGTTTTATGGTAATTTCTTAGATATTGACAATAATTAAAATTTATACATGAATAACAACAATTAAGTGAAAGTATATTCAATAACACCTAATGTATTGTTAAAAACATATTATTTTGATGAGAAACTTGTTTGGTTTAAATAAATCTCAGGATTTGCTTTTATTATATAAAAACAATATTTCCAGATAATTCTTTTTTAGAATATGAAATAAATCAAAATTAAAAAAATATTATTAACAATGGGAATAATAAAATTATATTCTCCAAAAATAATATTTGGTCAAAGAAACAAATAATGGATCTGGGAAACCAGAAATAGTATGCTTAAGCTCGATAATTTTAGATAAAATAATAAGGCGATTCAGGCATAAGTAATGTTTATTGTTTTAAAATGGATTTGAAGCTTAGGTTAGCTGGATAGAGAATAATAGGATAGTTAAATTTGATTTATTGAAAGGCACATAAAAATTTATCGATTTTTCTAATGAGAATATCAATCAGTGTTATGCCATAGCTAAAAAAACAATAGTGGTAATGATGAATAAGTAAAAATTGAAATATTAAAAAATGATTTGATAATTAATATACTGAGTTTATTGATTTTTAAATCTTAATTATCTGTGTATATAGATTTCTAAGTTGATCTGAATTTAATTATTCATTAATTCGAATACAAATTTTTGATTAAATTAATTCAGAATTTGAATAAAATAATAAATATACAGTCAAAAATTAATTTTTTAAGCATTTTATTTACTTTATTACCTAAAAAGTGGATTAATTGTTTCATTAATAAATGAACAAAAACAAATAAGTTTAAAAAACTATTTTTGAATAAATAGATTCAATATATTTGTATTTCATATTTATGTAAAATACAATTAATATAACTAAAATATAAAGTATATAATTTATGTTAGAAAATGCATCAATTAATCTGCTTGAACAAGAATGAATTAAAAAATAATTAACAATTAATAAAATTTTATTTCTTAATTGTTCTAGTTGTTTAGTAAATCTTGAGTCTTGAATGACTTTAAATCACAATATCTAAGTAGGAAAGGTAGAGTAATCCGATTGAGTTAAAGTTTATGTATGTACATTAAGTATTGAGCAAATGGCTCAAAAAATAAAAAGAAGTGATGGGCAAATTTGCTCTCTTTCAAGTGAGAAGGGTTTTTTATATGAGATAAGCTAGAGAATGATGGATTTTTTGAATAAAAGCAGACAAAAACGAGTAAAATGATTGGAAGTATTCAATTGACATATATAGTTAAAATGTTGCAAAAATCCTTTTTTATGAATGATAGATAATATTGATATGAGAATTATTAATTATTATAAATTAAATTATTTAAATATTCAGAAAATTAATTTATATTATGCTCCTTAACTCAAAAACATCAACAATGACGATATTCTTTTTCAGTTAACAATTATTTGGAAACTAGAGAATCACTTTCTAAGATTTAAAAATACAATAATTGTAATTTTCTTTATTTATTTTGAAATCCTTTATGTTAAACAAGTTATTTTGTTTTCAAGAAATCTCTTAATAACCGTAAAAGTTAATGTTAATATACTTTGGCTTTTTTACTTTAAAAGAATAGATTGTCATATACTCAAAGAATGAGGTTAGCTGTACCATCGAGTGAACTAATTAAAATCAGATGAATAGATTTTGATTATCATATATTAGCAGAAAAAAAAAATATTATTAATAGTTATGATGGAAAAAATATTTTATAATTTACAGATAAGTTTAAATGTGCAATATATTTATATTTCACTTCAAATGATCGTAATGATAATTTTAAATTTTAACTAACAATTTCCCTGTGAATGGCAAAGAAATAAAAATAATAAAAAAAAAATAACCATATCCCATAGAAGAGAGTTATTCGAAGAGTCTCTTCATTTGGATTGTTAAAAAAATATTATATAAAACTTTATATTTAACAGAGTTTAAGGTTTTTCAATATAAATTAGAACATGACTTAACTTGTTGATGAAATTCATAAAGTTAATTCTATTGATCTACTAAAATTTTGAAGAAAATAATAAATTTATAAATGTTATTCACATAAAATTCACAAAACATGGCTTGAATGATGCTATCTGTTCGGTTTATTGAAAATTAAAGTTAAGAAGGAGAGTTGGCATACGAAAAAAAAAGATATGAAGAGAAGATTAATCAGGAAGATGATAAAATGTTTCTCAGTTTTAAATAAAAGCTAAGGACAAATATTGGCTTAGGAATAAGCTACTTTAAAATACATTTTAAAATTCTTTTATGTGAGATCATGCTCACAAGTTAGTTGAAAGATGTTTAGTACTTATTTAATAATTTTTTTAAACAATAAACAAAGTTTACTTTTGTTTCTTTATTCTTAGATTATATAAGTTAATCAATAATTGGTAGAGATACATTTTCATTGATGAATTTAACTTAAATAATTTATTCTTGCAAATTAAAAAATTAAAATAATTATTTGAATTTACATATAGCTGCTGGTTGAAAGTAATTAATTTAAGATTACACTTTTAATTCTAATACCATATGCTATAATTTTACGATTTTTTTATTTTATATTTTATATAAAAGAGTGAAAGAGTAGAATTATTAAATGGATAAATTAAGATATTTTATGTTGGATCTATTATATGTAAGTTAAATTGGACCAATTGTCATTATTTGTTCAAATAATTTATTATATATTTATAATCAAAGAAAATAATATTTTATATTTATTTATATTAGTAATCGTCATTCTTCCCTATATCTTCTTATTTATATTTATTTAGATGTGCCATCCCAAGAAATAAAGTACTCTCCATCATCACTCAATTACCCAAATAATTCATTTGTATTAAATTGAATAGATTACTCAACTTTAAATCCATCTTTTTCTGTTTTTTTTATAAAATTGACATATTCACCATGCTTATTTACTAGAATCTATTTTTATTTATTATATTATTATGGAAATAATTACCAATCATCAAAACCTTAATTTATAGTTATTTCTTTTGTTTTAGTGAACTATTTACTTACACTATTCATCTCATACACATGCATCTAATTACCATCATTTGGTTAAAATGTGAATAGATTATTGCTGATAAAGCATAATCTCTTACCATAAAAATCAACTGTTATATTGTATATTACAAACCATCTTTTAAATTATTCAGAATGCTCAATTACTAATATCATTTTATCTATTCCACAAGAAATAACTGTATCTTGTTAATCGTTTAAACTTATTGAATAAACAGAACCAGTATGATTAGTAATAGATTATTAATAGGTCCAATCATTTTGTTTAATCCAAAACTTTATAATTTTATCATCACTACAAGATATAAAAAGATCTTCATTGCTATTTAAAATTAAGCAATTAATATAATCACTATGTCCTTTAAATTTTTATGAGGGATTCCATTAATTATTGTTATTCTTTTACCAAATTACAATATTACCAACATAATCTCCAGATATCAATTAATTTGATTTTTACATGAAATTTAAAGTAGTAACATTATTTTTATGTTCATTTAAGATTTGAATTTATTTCATTGCTCCTTATTTGAATTAAAATATTTTTATTAGTTTATCACAATTAACTGCTACAATTGAACAATCCTTTTTAATTGCAATTGCACGACATCTTTATGCTTCCTAAATTGAATAATCTTTTATTATTTAATACTTAAATTGTTATAAATTCAATTCAGGGGTTGTGTATTTAATTTATGGTTATTCTATTGATTATGATTATTATGATTATATAAATGATTGTGAATTTGAATTTGATTATAATTTAAATTGATCTTTTTCATTGATTTTTTAATTGATTAATGGTTTCACTTCTTCAAAAATTTGTGATTAAAGTTTCTATAAATCAATAAAATTAAATGAATCAAATTTTGGAAAAAATAATTCTAATTAAGTATTGTAAGGCTTGGCCATTAGAGAATCCATAAGGAATACTTAATCAATGAAATTATTGATTTAATCAAAAGTTGACTAAAGGATTAGAATCATAAATAAATACATCTGAGTAAATCTACAATTCTTTGATATGGGATTCAAACTATCTATTGAACAGTTATTTTGTTGTCATTTTTCGAATTCTATTAATTTATTAATTAATTTAGGCGTATGAATTAAGAATATTAAAGTCTTACAAATAATAGTAAGTAAAAAGCAATACTTTTAAATTTTTTTACACCAAAAAAACTATATAAGTCTTTCTATATATTATTTACGATTAGGGACGATTTGATAATTTTTTTTAAATAATTATCAAATTGTTTTTGAAAGTAATTTTGTGAATAGTTCCCTGAGAAGCTGAAGGGCCTGAGCTTGCATAGTTTGAAATCAATTATTTATAAAAAAAGAAATTAATAAGAGCATTGATGGAGTTGTGTCATTTTTAATTTCCTCATAAAATAATTTAATAAGTATTAATGGATATCTAAAGCACTTTTTTGATTTGGTCAAGACTTTTATATAATAATTATATAAATTATCAGATTATTTTAACCTTATAAACATAAAAATTCAAATTAAACAATTTTTTTGAATCCTTTAAAAGTAAATTGAAATACTTATTTAAATATTTTTAATTAATCATTTCTTTATAAAATTTTCGAAATTATTGATATCAATTACAATACTATTTTCTTATTATTTAATCTCTCTAATTATGCAATGAAGTTTCCTATTTAAAAAATAGTTATGTTTTTCAATTCGAAATGGGGTAAAGAGATGATAATTATTTATGTCTTCAAACGAATTTTCTCTTGATATGAAATTGAATCAAATGTCATTTTAAACCAAAAATAACGAATAAAACCTAATTTTTTAATCTCTTTATAAAGCCTTGGTATGTAAAAGCATTGATATTTATTTATCCAAATTCGTTTTAATTTATATTTATCACAATATGAATGAAATGCTTTTAAAATTGCTTCATAGAATTAGCAAAAATCTCTTTCTTTCTTTTAGAGTTAACATCTATCTAGCTGAGTTTCTTCAATCATTAATATCGAAATTAGATCGCTAATTTGAAATTTATGAATATGCTGATGATTTATTTATAAAACATTTCTAAATCAATACTTTCAATTAAACTATTATATAAGAAGATTTAATTTGGAACATGAAAGTAAATAGAACAAGTCTAGAATAATTTTAATAAAAAATTATTTAACAATTTAAAAAATCAATAATCTCCTCATTTTTTAAAACTATAAGTGCCTAGTTATCAACATAAATAATTAAGAATAACCCAATTTACACCTTCAATCTTTACAAAGTCTAACTCAAAGAAAATAAAACACATCAAAAATCTTTATCAGTTATTATATTTGTTACTCATAATATAGAGTATTGATTATCAACCAGATATATTATTCTTTAATTAGTTTATTCTTCCTAATAAGCTAAATTGTTTTAAAAATTGAAAAGTGTTAATTAATAAGTACCTTCAAATAATCAAAGCTTGGTTAGTAATTTATGATTTATGCTTTAACTTACTACAATAAAATGTTTAGGTACCTAAAATAATTAATCAACAGAGAAATTATTGTCTATTAATGATTTATATAGATCACTCTGATATAATTAAATATTAAATCAGTCACACAATATAAATTCTTTTTTACATTCATCCAGCATCGTTTCTAATTTTGCTTTTATGGATTATTCACAAATTCCATATTATATTATATTCCAATAACTCATCATCAGCTAATAAAAATTCTATTATGATTACTACATGGTAAAGATAAAAATCCAATTATGGTAATATAATTTTTAGATTACTTAATGAATAGTAGTACTATTTGCCTATTTTATTTACCTTTCTATTCCTTCATATTTTTATCATTCATTTCAAATATGAGCACTTCAACTTTATAAATTACAATAACCCTTACCAATTACATTAGTTTGTTTAAACATCCTTCACTTTTTCCTAATCTGAAATAACCTAAATTTTATCTAATAAAAATTAGAATAGTTATCCACCCAATTATTTTTCCCATCCATCTCCTTTAGACATAAAACCCTTTCCATGATATAGTTTTTAATCATTATTCATAAAATTAATTCTTTTTTAATAATATGCATGATTTTGATCATCAGATCATTTTATTATATAATAGTCACTGTCAATTTTAATCATTCTAACATTTTCAGTGACCTTTACTGTTATTTGAGATTATCATGAATTTGAAGCGTTTTTAATTTTATTGATGCTTATTTCTAACTTATAACTTAATATTAATTATTTTTTTATTAGATGAGTTAGAATGAGTATTTATGCATATATTTTGAATGAATTTATATTCTCTTAATATAAAATATTTTATAAAGAAAACAGCAGATCATATCTTAATTCATTCCTTTATTATTATTTAATTATGATTGAAATATATTTGTTACTAAAAGTTTCTATATTGTGTTTTTAATGATTATAATTTGAATAATCATTTAAAAGAACATATTAAAATTATATTTATTTATAAAACTGACAAGTAAATATGTTTCGGTTACTTATTTAATTTTCGGTTTCAATATTGTTGAATATTGCTTTAACCGTTACTTCTATTTCAACTATTAATCAGAGTTCGTTTCTTCTTGCTTAAGTGGCTTAGCTGAATTCTTTGACAAAGTTAAGATATTATGTTAAGGATTAATTCCAAAGTTATCGATTTCTTTAGAGTTTTTCTAAGGCATATTTAATTATTTTAAGTTTGTAAAAAGTATATTATATCATTCTTATTGTATCCATTTTTAATTAATATGATTATAGATGTTTTGTTATTGAAAACAAAGGCAATTTTATTCCTATCAATTCCATAGTCAATCATTCTTTCATTTCAATAATGAGTAGGAATTCTTCATAAAAAATTTAATAATCAAATAAACTGAGCAATTACTTGATGATTTGAAAAATTATAAAAAACAAAGTTATAATTTATTTAAAGTTTTTTTCATTCATAAATATAGTAAATTAATGAAATATTTGATATAGTCTAAATCTATCACATTCTACTCCATAATTAAATTAGTTCAAAATCAATCTAATGATTTAAAAATTGATGTCTTTGATAAATATTTTCATTATTTTCTTAAAGAAAATATATCATATTTTTTTTTATTTATTTTTTTATATTTAAAACTTTTATTGTTTTATATTTTCTCTTTGTTAAATATTTTTTTTATTTTTATTTTATTTTATTTTTAAATTAAATCTTTTATTATTTTAACTTTGATATTTGAATCATATTTTTTTAATTTTTTTCCTCAATAAAATAAATGTTTCATTATTTTATATATGTAAAATAATGAGAGATTCATTATTCCTTGAACTCAAGCGAACAACATTTTCTTTTTGAATAGAAATTTTTATTAATTAAAAATTATTAATCATTTTTTGAGAAAGTTATTTGGATTTTTGAGTTAAGAAATTTATTTTTGAGGTAAGAATTCATTTTTTGCAAATTCAAGTTAGTATTGAATAAAAAATTAAGCTGTCAGTTTTTTTTGAATCAATAAAAGGAATTTAAAAAATTTTTTAAAATCGTTATTTATAATTTGAATACAGGTAGAAACCTAACAAAAAAATCTTAGGATTAATCATACATAAAATTATTGTTGTTAAAATACTCTAAACTTTGCAATGAATTCTATTATGATTACTGACCTTTAACAACACATAAACTAAAAGTTTCTTAGGAAGGATGATTGAAATATAGTTTTTAATTAGATGAAGCATATAAGATTTGGCAACTAATGCTAGGGTTTTTTTATGATTCAAAATAAAGTTAAAAATAGAAATCAAAAAAGCCTTGTAAGAACTAAAAACAGTTCCTCACAAAAAGTGAGTACAGAACTATTAAACAGATTATAAAAGAACTAATAAGAAATTTTTGTTAGTTTAAACAAAACTTTTCTAAATTAAAAAAATTTTAGATGAAGCTAGAATGGTAGGAAATGATTACTATCAAGAATAAGTATAAATAAGGCAGTCTGTATGTGCAGTATGATTCTTGGAAATCATGAAAGACAAGTACATCTATTAAGCCTGAAGAGATGTTTGAAGTTCTAGTTGTTGAGAGAATTTTAAGTAGTACTTTATTTGATAAAAAAAAGGCAAAAAGCAATTGCAATAGGGAAATAGTTAGTTATGAGTGTTAAAAAGTCTTATAATATTAGAATGAGATTATTAAGTATGATTGATATATCAATTAGAAATGACTTAATTATTGCAAATAGGTTAAAATTGTTTTATTAATATAGAGTGAACACATGATAAAATAGTACTATGTAATAAAGATCGAAAAACAGTGCTAGCAGACCTATTAAATTTTACTCAACATAAAAGGGAAAACCTAAGGATTTCATAGATATTTAACTGGGCAAATAATTATGGAACTCTCGTATCTATTGTATTAGGACTGTGATCAAATTAGTATGAGTTATATAAAAATCTTTTGCCATTGTTCTTCAGACTACAATATATTTAGCTCAAAAATTGGTTAATTTAAGTATTTAAAGCAAGTGATATTTATTAATTAAATACGATTTATTGGTCATTTATTCCAAAGCAAATAGCATAATTTAATTAAAGATTTTTATTAGTAAATTGTTACATGTCAATTATGCCACTATTTCCTTTTAAAAAGTAAGGACTATGTTAAGGAGTATATATTAAGTATTGCTTTTTTATTTAATTACAGTAATCCTAAAATATATGGAATAAATCTTATCTGTATAATAGCTTCAAGCAAGATATATCTTTTAATTAATTTTTATGGCCAAACAAGTGAAATCATTTAATTATCTTCTTATCCACAGAATTTCGAACTATTTAAATTTGTCTCGAATCATTTTTTTTATTTACTTAATCAAGATGCTTTCTTTTCTTATAATCATCAAAGTCAATTTGTTTATTACTCTGATTGCTATTTTGATCTGAAGATATCTAATAAAGAAATTTTATATGAGTTGGATATATTAATTTTGTTTTCTTTCAAATAAAAAATCTTTATTATGCCAAATATCATTTAAATATCTTGCTAATTCTTATTTTATTCAAAATCTTTTTGAAAA